ATCTAAGATGAGTAAAGGCAATATTTGGTTATTAGGTTCTGTTTATTTGTAGTTTTTCACGTAAAAATTTACAAAATTCGATTGCTTAGAGGGCAGGCAGTTCGGAAAACTAAAACAACAATTATTAAAAAATGATTATCTACATTGCTATGAAATTACAGCCCCGAAAGCTAAAGTTACGAGTTGTTGAGGCTCTACTGATAAATCATATTCATGGAATAACGACTGCTAAAGAGACGTAAATTCCACATAATCGACGCCGTCAAGGTGGTGCGTTGACACGCACGGTAAAGATAGCTTTTTTGTTTTGGTCGTTATTTTTTTTTTTTGAATTTTTCAATGAGGTTAATAAGTCTTGTTCAAATGGGTAAAAAATAAATACGGTGAGATAAATGAATTTATCTAAAGCTGAAAAACTACCCCCTTTAACATACTTGTTTTTAAATAATTCTATAGTTTTTATCGTACTAATGTCTTTATTTTATGAAAATGCTAGGAATATATCTATACTAATTTATCTAAGCTACAACAAATCTAAAAATTATTACACTTTTAATTTTTTTTTACTGTAGACTCTTTTATTAAAAAGGAATAAATTTTATTCATCACTAATGTTGTTTATTTATCGATAATTTGACCTTGACTCCCCCCCCCCCCCCATTCATTGTGACCAGAACTGGTATTATGAAGTCGAGATTTTCTGGTGCCGTGAAGTTTCAATACAGCTTTTAGTTTTCTCTAAAGTTATTTCAAAGGAACTCACTATACTTAAATTACTCACTAAAACGTCGCATTTCACGCAATATTATATATTTTGACGTCATAATATAGGGTGTCCTCAAAGTCTTAATTTTTTTTAAATTGCAAAGGGAATTTTTCGAGACCTCACAGATGAATCAAATGAAATAAAAATACTTAAACAATTACTGATCAAAAAACAGCAAACCTGGTTAATATATATTGAACTGACTTCATAATAAAATTGAAATTGTGAAGGGACTTTATGGACACCCAGTACATTTTACATAACGGTGAAATACATACATGACGTCATAATGGATTCCTAAACTCAAAAATGACATAGGCTAGGGCCGCGATCGGCAAACTGCGGATGTAGCTACTTTTCACGGAGGTCTGGTTCCCCTGAATCAAAATGTCTACAACAGTTTTTTGTTAGAACAGTGGCAATTCAATGAAAGTCGGGGGCATAAAGTCGATTACTACTCACTAATTACACGTCACAGCAGGTATGAGTGCAATTCATTATATGCAATTCAAAAGTCCTGCTGCACACTAACAAAAATGTATTTCTATAACGATTCGTCTGACCAAAATCAGACTTCCTCAGACAAGCAGTTCACAACATTTTATGGTATTTTTAATCCTGCTACAGCATCCTTGCATTATACGCATACGGATCCTATAGCGCAAAGGCATTGAGAAAGGATTGAGAGGGAATCTCGCGCACCTATACTGATAGTAATATTTCATTGTTTTTAAATACCAAAGTTAAATTGGACCAGATGAAAGATTCGGCCTTCCTCTTAGATCGCACTTGCTCTGCCGACCTTGGCGCGACTCATGCTTTAAGACTCACTGGTATATATGGTATCGATAAATTCCCTTTGCGTTTTAAAAGATTTCAGAAATTACTGAACAGCATGTATATCTTTATCAGGGATCTACTTACCTTTATGTAAGACCTCTTGACATTGTTTTTATCAAAAGTATATGGAAAGACACCAAAATCTTTGCATTTTTGTATAAAATGCTTAGTAACTATGAGATACACTTCAGATGAGTTACGTTCTTCTGAATTCATGTCTACCAAAATCTTCCAGCAGTGTATTCGATAACTTTTTGTCTATACAGTTGCTCAACTTGCTTCAGTGATTAAAATGAGTTGCTATGAAATTATTGACTATACCTAGGAGTCTAATACATAACAATTAAGTCAGCGATACCAGCGCGATCGGGAGAGTGCGCCTAAACTTTATATACCGTCGCGCTCTCACTGTAGTTTTTCTTCATTGAATACCTCGAATAAAAGCGAAAGCAAAGGGGAAAAACGGCTTGTTCAGATATTGCGCAATGCATATTTGAAATTGAGACTGTGATCCAGACTATATAATTCTAAATTTATTTTCTATCTAAGTATGAAAATTCGAATCAATTAAATCTTTATATCAGATAGTATAGCGTGCAATTATACTTGCAAGCGCAGATCGTGTAGTATTAAATCATGGAGTTGATTTTTTCGTTCATTCCCTTGCTATATAGCCATATATATAACTTGTTCTATACTGTTCTATACTAATAATCCTAATGATTTATCTAAATCACATACTATAAATATAACAGCTAAATAGATAAAATAAATATTGAGATTTTCTTTTGTTGGTAGACTGCATTATATTACTTGCATATTGCATATAGATATAATGAAACTTGATTATTGCGAGATTATTTAGAAAATGTTGCGATACCTGTAACGTCACAATGTCTGTTTATATACATCATTCTTCAAATCATGCCGTGCGCATGCGGGGAAAAAATGATTTCGACGCGTCGCCATTTTGGAGAGACGAAGTATACAAAATAGAGAGTCGACATAGTTTTATTATAAATATTATCGATAGATATAGTTATTGTGCTAGCCAAGCAAGCTTAGGATGAATTCTTTGTATGAAATTGAAGAAACGTTTCATGATTTTTAATTCCAAATAGGAAATTTTTGTTTATCAAGGGCAGGTTTTGTATGCAAACATTTAACGCCAAATCTAAGATGAGTAAAGGCAATATTTGGTTATTAGGTTCTGTTTATTTGTAGTTTTTCACGTAAAAATTTACAAAATTCGATTGCTTAGAGGGCAGGCAGTTCGGAAAACTAAAACAACAATTATTAAAAAATGATTATCTACATTGCTATGAAATTACAGCCCCGAAAGCTAAAGTTACGAGTTGTTGAGGCTCTACTGATAAATCATATTCATGGAATAACGACTGCTAAAGAGACGTAAATTCCACATAATCGACGCCGTCAAGGTGGTGCGTTGACACGCACGGTAAAGATAGCTTTTTTGTTTTGGTCGTTATTTTTTTTTTTTGAATTTTTCAATGAGGTTAATAAGTCTTGTTCAAATGGGTAAAAAATAAATACGGTGAGATAAATGAATTTATCTAAAGCTGAAAAACTACCCCCTTTAACATACTTGTTTTTAAATAATTCTATAGTTTTTATCGTACTAATGTCTTTATTTTATGAAAATGCTAGGAATATATCTATACTAATTTATCTAAGCTACAACAAATCTAAAAATTATTACACTTTTTAATTTTTTTTTACTGTAGACTCTTTTATTAAAAAGGAATAAATTTTATTCATCACTAATGTTGTTTATTTATCGATAATTTGACCTTGACTCCCCCCCCCCCCCCATTCATTGTGACCAGAACTGGTATTATGAAGTCGAGATTTTCTGGTGCCGTGAAGTTTCAATACAGCTTTTAGTTTTCTCTAAAGTTATTTCAAAGGAACTCACTATACTTAAATTACTCACTAAAACGTCGCATTTCACGCAATATTATATATTTTGACGTCATAATATAGGGTGTCCTCAAAGTCTTAATTTTTTTTAAATTGCAAAGGGAATTTTTCGAGACCTCACAGATGAATCAAATGAAATAAAAATACTTAAACAATTACTGATCAAAAAACAGCAAACCTGGTTAATATATATTGAACTGACTTCATAATAAAATTGAAATTGTGAAGGGACTTTATGGACACCCAGTACATTTTACATAACGGTGAAATACATACATGACGTCATAATGGATTCCTAAACTCAAAAATGACATAGGCTAGGGCCGCGATCGGCAAACTGCGGATGTAGCTACTTTTCACGGAGGTCTGGTTCCCCTGAATCAAAATGGCTACAACAGTTTTTTGTTAGAACAGTGGCAATTCAATGAAAGTCGGGGGCATAAAGTCGATTACTACTCACTAATTACACGTCACAGCAGGTATGAGTCCAGAGCGGGAAAAATAGGTCGCATTTGGAGATTCAAATCTGCCAAAACAAACTTTTATTTTTCATTTTTCAAGTTCTTTTCATTTCGCCGTATCATAAATGGTTTCCCGTGAGTTTTAGTAGCCAGTGACATCAGAGTAGATGTTGTGGCTCCGAGTAGGTTTGAGTTTGACGGTAAGGATGCTAAATGGCTCTTCCAATGGTAAAGGTTGCCGACCTGTGGGCTAGGGAAAGGCTGTTGTTTCAAGCGGCCTGCGATGTAATAAGGCTGTAATCAGACATTTTTGATACCTTTCATAGACTCAAGTATGTTTTGTGATTTTGACGTGAGTATTTGGGTCATCTAATTCTCGCGACCAAAAGCTGGAAATTCTTTTGGGTCTTTTTTTTCAACAAAAATCTAAAATGTATTGATTTTCATTTCTAGTAATTTTATTGTTCACTTTGTATTTTGTATTGAGGTGTTGCTTAGGAGTAATTGTATATGTGGAACGTATCATAGCATAGAAGACTTGGGAGCATCTATTTTGCTTAAGTTAAGCCACGCCGTGATTTCAAAAAATCGTTGATGGTAAACAAATATTAATGTTAAAATAATGAAAATAAATCTCATGTAAAAATGATTGTTTTCAGTTGTAATTTCATTTTGTGGTCACAGAAGTACCATGTGCCCATCCAGTACAGCATTTAAGCATATCGTTGGCGAAAATTTGGTCGCTTGAAAAAGAGTTGGATATGGTTAAGTTGGAAACCACTTAACCATATATCCGAGTTCGGTAAGCTACATTTCCGTCAGTTCTCCTCGTCGCGCATGTATCAAGTCTTTCGCCCCCCGCAGAACTGCAACTCTAGTCAGATTATAGCGAAAGCTATTGCGCAATCATAGGTGACAAGACATTTTTCAAATAATTTCATGCTGATTTTTACATTTCACGTCAGTTTTAATCGTCTTTATAGCCGTTGTATAATGAAAGTGAACAGTATCTTCACCACTGGCCCAAGAATGTGTTGTTTTTTTATTCATATATTCTATTATGTCTTTGTTATTTTCGCGATATATGAGGAGCTATTATTATTGGTAGGACCGGAATCTTTCCGGTTTGGAATGCCGATGAAATTGACAATAATGGCATTTCTACACATTCAAATTAATACAGTATATCCGTTTAGAAATCGTAGGAAAGTTACATACACTACTGCATTGCATTGTTTATTGGTGTTCCGAATGTTCCTAGGCCCTAGGGCATCTCTCATCGTCTAAAGGGCTACAATGCAGCATTAGCTTAGAACAGCTATCTAATAAACATTAAAATATATGTAAATATAATTCGTTATTTTCTAATAGATCACTGTAATTCTATAAATAGCGACATTGGAGAAGCGAGAAGTGATTTTTTTGATTGCAATTGTGAGAATCACACTATTCTACGACTACGGCTGTCACATTCTACGACAAAAAGTATTTTATTTTTGCTATTTCAGTTTGTGTTGCATTGAATCGATGATATAAAGACAGTTATAATGAATGAAACAAAAACACAGACTCCTACACTGGATCAAATATTGGGTAAACTATCTTCATGTAAATTGTTTCATGTATAAAAATTATGTTTACGAATCACTCAGAGATGTTTTCAAGAACACCAGTGCTTGATAATGCAGTCTCTCACACTTAAACAGAAACCTTAGGTTATATGAATTTCACGTTGTAGTTGATAACTTGCCACGTGTGCCTTGAATGCTAATGGATTGATGAATTTATTAAACGTATCTTGAGAAAATTCAATTATATATAATTCTGTTGATTTTTTGGATTATCTGAAGATAAATATCTTAAAACCCCGAACAAAACTAAAAACACTTATTTCAAATTAAACGTGATGTTTATTTCGTTTATAGGTTAGCAAGTATATTACTATATGAATTTTAATGGCGATTCGCGAACGCTAATTTAATGAATTTTGCTCAAAAATATGACTTTTGTATAAATCAGGTCATGTCAAAAAACATTGGATCACTGAACATCCCACTTTAATAATTACACGAATTTCCTATTATTTATTATTGTTTGAAGGTGTCAAATAAAAATATATAGTTAACGAATTCTGCCTACGTGACCACGGTCATGGACAAAATGAAATGTTTACATCATTGAAGATAAAAAGATAAATCGCTAACTCTAAATCAGTCGAATTCTCACTACATATTTGCATACAAACTGGGTCACTTGACGTGTCATTTAGCTCCAGGCCAGAATAAAGTTAGAATTAAGGTTAGAATCCTGATGACTGGGCGAGATCGGCGTAGTTATGAGGTAAACAGCGGTGAACTTGAATGATTACCATTCACTATAATATTATCACAAAAGCGTTATCCGATTTCTTTCACGATAAACTAACAACCAACTTATCAACAAATCTATTTTTTAATCATAAATATAATTTTTTAGAATAGAATTATAATCGTAAATTTTTTGAGAAATATGGTGAATCGTATATGTCTCTGATAATTTCGTCTATTTCAAACATTTTGAACTAATGATAGTAAAAAGACATGGCATACGTCGGTAACTTATACTGCATTAGCAAATTGAAAATCTGAAAAATGTTTTTAGTCAAAATATTTAGATGGGCATACGAAGGTAATCCTAAAACACGAAATGTAATGATGATTGCGTCGCAAATTCATGGGACAAACCTGATCACAAGCAACAATGCCACAGTAGCAGCTTCCTAGTGGCTGAAGCGTTAAACTTGATTATTTATCTTGGTATCACAGGTTACCAGGCTCACCAACTTACGCCGGATGTAATAAATTGGGTAAGCAATGACGAACCGTGAAGATGCCGGTCTTTACAAAAATGGTAGCTCATAACACATCACGTGATGATGATGTTCGGAACAAATAACGTAAATAAGCGTCACAAAACGACAGTTTTTATACCCGAGGTCATGGTCTATTTTCTGTTCTAGATGGTGAATACAATTTTGCTGTACTCTGTCGAGTTTGTGATGACAAGGCTTCGGGTGTGCATTACGGAGTAGATGCGTGCGAAGGGTGTAAGGTAAAATACTTGAAATAAATGTAGGGCCAATAGCCCTAAAATACGATTTTATTGAAGTTGTTGATTGTTTCACATGGAAATCAAACACCCCCTTCCTATTTTGAAACTTGTGGAAGAATGAAAAAGTTAATAACGCGTGCAATTGCATTTTGTTAAAATCAACGATTGTTTTCGTCGGCGTTGCGTGTTACTTTTAAGCCGTAAATAAAGAGGTGAATCCGCGACCTAAATTTTCTAGATTGAAAGCGGCAATATAAAATACTGAGAAAAAAACGGACAACACCATAAGTTTTGTTGGAAGAGGATCGCAACAGATTAAAACGTTTCTTTAGATGTCGAGAGTCTCAAAATTGTGCACGCGAAGTACCTTTTTATTCATTCTAAAACTACCAACGGGTCTGACGCGACTTTTTCCCGGATTATGATGATATAAGATAATTAACGTAAAGTATATTCAACTAATTTGTTTAAATAAATTTTACTCCTTACTCCTTAATTCCAGACTTGGGGATTTTTTTAACGATGATATCTTGAAAAAAATCTTGAATGGCAGCATTGCGATAGAGCTGTTGCAAGAACAGCTCAGATTTGCTGAATTCGCAAACATACTACGAATCGCAACAAGATATAATCAGGCAATTAATAACACATTTTTTTGTCCACCGTTCGCCATGATAATTTAGAATTGTGATGCTTTTATTTTACCGGTGCAACCGCAGGTAAAATTGAATACAATTAAATTAATATAGCAAGGCATTTTTAAATATGCCCATATCGGTCAAGGAGTGAATACTATGCAGCAAAAAAATCATTATATATCCTTTGAAAACGTCGACTCTTTTAATGAGTGGCGTAATCGCGACGACCGTTTTAGAAGCCATTTCGCTACAAACTTCGAGGCGATGAAGGTGTATTCTTGATATTCTAATATACTCTATATGTATTTTTAAACTAAATTTATTTGTAATCTCTGGGATTTTATTGCAGATCTTGGAATTTTTCTAACGGCGATGACGAATTTGCAAAAATACGCATCAAAACAACTATAATCGGACAGTTTACCACACATTATTCCGTCCGCAAATTGCGCCTGCTCTTTCAATAAACGCGTAATCGCGAAGACCGTTTCATCGGATTTCGATTTTGTAACCGCCGCCCTTTCGAAAATCTTGGCGGCGCCCCTGTGTGAAAGTACAGGTCGAAAAAAAAACAGTATTCTGGAACGCTCATTATTCCTTACTCCTCATTGAAAAATATTTGAGTTTTAATTTGTATTTATCGGTTGAATAGATTATTTGATCAATATTTTCTCCATCGTTTATTTGTTTTGTCTGGTGATAAATTATACACCTAAATATACACTTGCATTTTTATTTTCATGTGTTAAATTCTACAGGGATTTTTCCGGCGAACCACAGGACAGAATCTGAAATATCCAGTATGCAAATTAGGAGGAAATTGCGAAATAAACAGAGAGTCTAGAAACAGGTGTCAGTCATGTAGATATGAGACATGCCTGAAAGTCGGAATGTCTCGAGAAGGTTAGACGGGTCCTTATATGTTTGCTTTTTCATCTACAAGTAATAAATTCAAGCCACAAAAATTAATCATATTCTTATCTCTTGTTTAGCCGTCAAGTATGGAAGAATACCAAAAAGAGAGAAGGTTAAAATTTTGACACGAAGATATTCAGCGTGGAGGTATTAATGTATTTACTGGCGGAAAATATTGTTCGCGGCTTAAATAATCTACATTCTAAAATAACAAACGTATATACGATAATTCCACATTCTATACCTGCGTGATTGAAAATGACGTAACGTTTGTCCAATGTGAAGAAAATTGCATAATATGGAAAACTTTTTTCAAGAACTTCTATGATTTGGAATTGCTACACGGTAATAAATAAAGTCATTTCTAACCCCGGATTTTTTTTAATTCTGTCTTGTTCGTTAGGCAATTTATAGCATTCTAACTACCCGGTGTCATTTTTGGTTTATGGTATTCATAAGTAAAAATTTAACTTTCAGAAGCTATGCACGATCGGATGAGAATGCTACCGGGAGTTTTCACTGTAAAAACGAAACGTTACTAAAGCAGACAACTGACGACCGCAAAACAATAAAACACGATAATGTATTACTAAACCCTGCCAAGAAACCGAAAAGTAAACATTTACCAACTGCAAAATATTTAATACAAAGTCGTATCGAAAATGAGGGGAGCGGTCAATCTCTAACAAGGAGGAACCATTCGCACTTGCTAAGTGTTGGTGATGACGTCCCCAACGTTTTCAAAGACAGAGAGAATTCAGTAACACGTCAGAAATTTATATATTCCGCCTGTAAACCAAATGAACCTTATTGGAACCCAAAAGTCGTCGTTGAAAATCAAAAATCCACATCTGAAAAAATTAGGCACCTGAACTTAATCAAAGCTTTTCAATATGATTCAACGAAAATGGACCATTGGCATATTCAGTCGTCAACTTTGAACAGAGAAGATAAATATATTTCGTTTGATAAATTTCCCGAACGACTGGAAGAAAATGCGAAGGGCAATTCCTTGCCTGCCTCAAACTTGCCTCACATATCATACAACCAGAAGAAGCGTTTGTGGTCAGCATCATCCCACGACAGTTGTTGCTCCTCACGGACTAAGCGCAAATTTTCAAGTGAAGACAGTGAATATCAAAGTACTAACACATTGGCGAGCATGAACAACGTGGTAAACACAAATTTGAGCAATCAGGTAATTTAAATAACTTAATTTTCACTTCATAACAATACAACTGTTTATTCGTATCACATATATCCAATAGGTATATTATCCAATAATATATAACATATATGTATGATTACAATCATGCTAATCTGTTTCGAAAACAAATTATTTATAAAATACGTGCTGGCCTGATAATCACGATAAATATCGTTTCATTGTCATTCTCAGTATGACCTACCAAATCCTACATAATGAGGTGAGCCCTACATACCTCAATAAGCGCAATATTTCATTTTTAGCATAGAACGCGGTAGTAAGAAGTATTCACTTTTGGTTGCTCCCCATTTCATATTTTAGGTTAAAGCATATAACGTTGTATCATATCTATCAGAACTTACTAAACTCCTAAATATTGCATTACCGAAACTAGTAACATTTAAACGAGAATATCGGTCAGAGACCGAAGACTTATCGATCGAAAGTTAGGAGATCCCCAAAACAGCGCTGCACTATATACACTCCATAGTGACATGTTGTGTCCCATCACTAATTAATTTATAAATCGCTAATTATACTACATAATTCGCCCAAAATCAATTCTGGCTTCTGGCTTCTGGTCCGAGTCAAGATGAATGCACATGCAAAATCTGGAGCAGATTCAATCTCGCTTTCGTGAGATATCGCGTGCATCTAACAGACAAACAAACAGACAAATACCTATCAACAAACTTACCGATTAAAATCGATAAGTAACAAAGCCTGTTGTGATTTCATCGACTGCTTCCACCCATGCTTCATTCAGGTTGCATTGAAACAGTTATTTGTTATAGATATATATTCTATATATCCTATTCTTAACATTTATGCTTAACATAAGTTTCATACAAGCTGTACAGTATAATCACTGAATCCGTAGAAAGCAACAAGCTTCAGGAATTTAAATACCATCCATTTCTACCATAATTATATTTTGTAGCATTCGGAGAGCAAGCAAAGCACCTGTGTATATGATGATATTGCAAATACACTTCGTGTCGGTTTTCAAGCCACTTTTTTTCTGGCCAAGCGAGGATTTTTTCTAAGCGCAGACGTCGAGGGAAAGAGACACAGTCAACTCGAGGTAAAGTATAATAACATAACTAACTAATACACAGCTTTATGCTAAAATGAAAACACTCACGGATGCGTGTTGTTTGATATTATCCATTGTTTTGACTTCCATTTTTCAGAAAAAAATCCGATGCATTGAACAATAAAACTGTTAGTGGACTATAACGACGTGCTCAATACCACGAAGTAGTATTTTACAAAAAATGAAATAATATCATTTTTCAATATTAAACTAGCGCAATGTACAAAACGTTATAATATTGTACTCAATTTCATACGAAACTGGCAGAAAGCAACATATAACGTTACAATTCAAGACACATCACCATTCAACATGGCGATTTGTGAAGTCGTTGAATTCGCGAAACAAATACCTGGATTTACCAATATGTTGAAGGTTGTGGATCAAATCCATCTCTTAAAAAAAGGATTACTCGAGGTAATTGACAAAACAAACAATATGGCCAAAATTAAATAATCTTTGATTCGGACTTTAGATAATCTATTTTATATTGAATCTTGATCCTTCGAAAAATTTTATCGTGTTGATTTTCGGTGAGTTCACAGATGAAATAGACCAAATTCATTCAATCATCAAATTCGCTGATTATTACAAGAAAGTTTGGTAATTTGTGCAATATTAACAATTCGATCACAAAGTTTCCCAGGGCAACTATGTTGCAACGTTTGTGATATGATATGGACGCAGAACTGATATGTCTATAATTCTTTTTATATGTTTCCCTTTTTTTCTATTCATATGCACCGTTCAAATCAGCATGTCTCCTTCTCTGGTCGGCTGTGGGCCGAGACTTTCACAGATGTAACTATAATTGATTTATTTATATAAATAGAAATATTTTAACTTCATTTACAGGTCATGCTCATCGTTATGGTATCTGGTTATAACCCGGTCAACCAAACATTTCTATTTCCAGATGGAAAACGGAAGGGTTTATCTGAATTAGTTTCCAATGGTATGTTCAGTTTCTATTACTATATCGACAAATATGATATATATATGAGTTGGTTATACTATACAAATGCACAATCATGCAATTGAACAATTTAACGTGACATATATTTTGACTCAGATATGGGAGAATTCGTCAAATGTACATTCGATTTTGCTGAACAGTTTAGTTCCCTTGGTCTTAGCCCAGAAGAAGTTGCTATATTCACAGCCTTGGTACTGATAACCTGCGGTGAGTAGTACAAATTGGTGCAAACAGATATGACCAAATTTAAACACAAAATATTATTTCAATCTCAGGCGCGTTAGCCATATTAAAGAGAAAAAAAGAATTACTGTATATGAATCATCACTGGTGGTTCAGATTCAGTATTGACGTAGACCTATAGCATAAATGTTATATTGACATAATCGTTACAAAATTATTTTATTTTTGTAGCGTGACAATTTGAATTAAAATGGAAATGCAAGTCCTTTTTACAATAATACAGTAACATAAAAAGTTTTAGTTTATACGAATAAGTGGGTTTGTCAACTTATTACACTTGTATTTAGATCAATCAGGTATTGTCGACAATAAATCTGTTCGTAAACTCCAAGATATACTGTTGCAAGTGCTGCATCAAAGCATGACCGCCTCGAGAGGAATGTGGGATAATACTTATGCTAGATTATTGATCAAATTAGCGGGATTACGAACACTAAGTTTCTTATCTCATCATCAACTCAGAGACTACTGTGACGCCGAAACAACTGACCATGTTGCTGTTTCCAAATAAACACAGAAATCTTCCATTGGTATCTAATCCAATAATGCTATCAAACGGGTTTCTGCGGGGTAAACTATTCATCCCATATGCTTTTGGATATGTAATTCAAGGATACCGTAGCAAGAGTAAAGACAGTTACTTTTTTTAGAATCAAGATTCTTTTGGTGGTTCCTGCAAAAAGGGTAAAAACATTTACGATATTTGAGTGATACAACAGTCATACTGGTTGATTCGCAATTCAAGGACGATGTAGCAAGAGTGAAGTCAACTATTGAAAGTAATTCAATACTCTTGCTTGTGTATCCGCAATGTAAGGATGATCTAACAAAAGTGAAGACAGTTATTTAAGTGATTCAATAGTCCTATTGGTGAATCCATAGTGCGAGAATCTTGTGCCAGGAGTTGAGGCAACTATTCGAAGTGATTATTCGAGAATCTTGCTGCGGTGGATCTATCATGCAAGTATGATCTGGCGAGAGCAAAAACAAATATGCTAAGTCACTCAAAAGTTTTGCTAAAGGACCCAGAACGCAAGAATGCTGTAGGAAGTGTGAGTGAGGACGGCAATCAATAATCCTGTCCATGAATTGACAAACGAGAATTCAATGTAGCTACAGTGAAGAATAATACTTTACGTGAATCCGGAAAATTGCTCGTGGATATCTAAAGCAAGCATACTGCTGCAATAAGGCAGTTAAACTGCGCGAATCAAAAGTCTTTCTGGTTGATCTATAATAGACGGATGATGTAGCAAGAGTCACGGCAACTATTCTAAGTGATTCAGAAGCAAGAGCAAATTTGGCCGTGGTCTAGCAAAACGTTACAGAAATATATTCTTGTTAGTGTGTAGTAAAAGTCTTTTTTAATGTTTATTTTATCTCTTTGTGAATTATCACAGAGCTATATATAGGAAGTTGAATGATATTTCTGTGTCAAAACTTCTGTTGATAATCGTGGCTCTTAATTTACAAGATGAAATTTACTAGTGCAATTCAGAAAATTGGGATGGGTCCAAATATAAAATTCGAAGTGTGGGACAAAACCCTGATTCCGTAAACCAATAGTTCATGTTTACCATTGGTTTCCAGTCTCATTGACGGCTGTGTTGTAACATAAAACCTGAAATATAATGGACGATGTGGAATCAGGTGTTTTTGTATGATTCATACATTTCCGCAAAGAAATTTGATTTTTAAACGAAATAAATAATAAAATAGTTAGGTATATGAGTCTGCCTGTTGAAATTGTTTTCTTTTAAAAAAATGTTTCCTTTTAACTCTTTCCTTGTAACGAGACAGGATCATAAAGCTATAGCTCGGTAAGAATTTTTTAATTACGAGAAAACTTCGTATGTTCAAATATTATGCTGAATGACAAGGGACGGAGAAAACCTAGCAAATCAAAAATATCCATATATGTTCGTCTTTTTATCATACTTACATACCCCAAACACAAGGTTCCCAATCATGATGCAATAGGAAGTGAGAGGCGAACAACTTTTTACACAGGTATCGTTAAAATTTCGTATAGACCATTTTTGCTTTTGTAATCCGGTGATATGGAACAAAATTACATTTGTCTACATTCAAGATAATCCAGCATTTTAGTATTCGATTGAGTGAGGCTGATTGCCTTCTGATCTTGTATTTCATCTTGATAAGTATGCGGATGTCCTTCAAAGGAACAAAAATGTGTTTCTATTCCAAAGTTACTTTTCATCAAAGTCTTTTATTATCTAAACCAGTGCTCTTCAACAGGGATTCCGCGGAACCCCCAGGGTTCCGCAATACATGCAGTGGGGTTTCGTGAGTTTATAGGGTTCCTTAGGGGTTCCGTTTTTTTTTTTAGGGGAAATCATTTCTTGCTCCAGCATGTTGATGAGTAATTATAAATATTCTTAGACCACCGTGTCTCATTCAAACTCCAAGTAGGCCAGTTCGTTAAACAGGAGGTTTAGTCATAGTGCAGTTTAATAGACAAAACAGAAATATATTCGGTTGTTGTGTCACTTTAGTCGTTGTTATGCAACTAACAAGAACGCTATTGTTGGAATTACATAAAATGTGGTGGTAAAAGAAAATCCGCCCCGGAATTTTTGAAAAACTGTGTGAAGAAATGAATGCTGATAATAACACTCTTCTGTTACATACAGAAGTTCGTTGGCTGTCTCGTGGCAAAGTTTTGGCTAGTGTGTTCAAATTAAGGCGGGAAATATCACGATTCAAGAAGATTGCAAAGGAAATGCAAAAACAAACTAGTCATTGAATTTAACGTTTGTTACATTCTATCTGTTTCGTTGTTGAAGTAGAAATATTTGAATTACATTTATTTCGTGTCACGAGTATTTCGTGTTTTTTATTTTTATTTTGTTAATTAGGGTTCCATAAAAAACGAAAAATTATATCAGGGGTTCCAAAATAACAAAAGCACAAAGAGCACTGATCTAAACAGCACTGTATGAATACCATCATACATGTTTTTAAGTCCATAGTGAATCTTTCTATGACTAAATGAACTTTTAGAATAAAAAAAACTGCTAAACTACCCACACAGCTTTTAAAATTCAAACAGCGAGACATGACAAAACAATAAACCGAATATGTGTGATTAACAGTTACAAATGTCACTGAACTGTTGTATTTGCTGATTCGCTGTTATCCATGAAATGTGCTAGTTTCGTGTCAGATACGCTATTGAAGATTTTCAGTTTAAGCGATAGAATTATTGGCTCAGCAAATTTGGTGAATTTCAACAAATTCGTGAATATATTCGTGGGGGGGGGGGGGGGGAGATATTTTGTTATTAGTGATAAAACTATTTGTAACTTATATAAATGTGTTATGTATTTGACTGATCATCTTCAACGGCATATGAGTCACTTTCTGCATGTTCGAATACAATTTTATCTAGATTAGGCATCAAAGTATGGTGTCACACCCGAAAATTAGGGGGTGTAGGGAAATCACTGGTTCACCATACTGAATAATACAGAATTGAGTAAAAATATGTGGCATTTTTCAGTGTGAAAGGAGGCGACATATACTAGCGGATTATGTAGCCGTTTTGGATTATGAATTCGTATCGGATATCGAATACCTATCAAAAAGTCTATCATCAAGTCAGTACAACTTTTTTCTATGAACGACCACTTTATCGTACCTTTTTAAGGAAAAACTACAACCGCCAGCGAGATCGATATTCTCAAGAGATATATATATTTAGTATTTAGCTGCGGTTAAAAAATTGGTTTTTCTTGGTATATCTTATTGACTTGCATCTGAATCTCTCATGAAATGATAACGAATTCACTGAAAAAAGTTTCGATGGATGTTCGAATGTTTTTACTGAATGGAATAATTCTAATGAATGTCATAGGGTATATACAGCATCTAAATACAGTTTTCATCTAGGGTTGGAAGTGAGGCCGGGGTACTGATGGTCGATACTCTCGAGTCCCCGAGTTATTTCGATTTTATCATTACGTTATAATAGCTGATCTCGTTTTCCAGTGTGATTATTCCTGTGCATGCTTTCGATCGAACCTCCGTCGATTCTCTTTTCTCACAAATATTACTAAATCATGCGCCGTAGCGGACATCTTGGTTGAAATTTATTTCTTGAAAAACTATACGTTTGGCCAAGCGAACGCAAAATCCCTCAAGCGGTCATCGGCAACAGATAATGTTGACTTTCTTCCTCGAAGTCGTCATTTCAGATTTCGGCATGAGGACCCAGCATTTCAGTGATGTATGCGTTTTTCATTTCTCCGTTAAAATACTGATGTACTAATGGTGTTTTACGTAGTTTAACGATAGTTACCCAAAATAGTTCAAGCCAAACACGTCAAATAAAAATTTTCATGTTAATACAATTTCTTTTTGTGTCTTCGCAAAACGACATAGAATTATGGACAGAGGAAAAAAATCTGTCAATGACGCCTCAAGTAAAAATGGAAATTCTAGGTTATTAATTACTAATGGTGTTGGCATGTTGCCACGCGTTGCGCACAAAAGCTTTAAACTATCAGTGTAAAAAGCCAAACATAACACACTAACATCGTGTTAGTCGTGAACACTGCGTTACCTCATGTTGGACACAAAATGTACGAATGAATTGCTGTGTTTTTATGTTGTTAGTATTTTCTTCTTATTGTTATGAAAAAATGGCACCAATTGCTTTGGAATTTTCAATGGTTGAAGTGTGTATTTTTCGCTAGACTGGGATTCGTTTTTATGTGCGATGACGAAATCAAAATTGAAGAATGCGAACCTCACCGTGGTTCCATGACCGCATTTCAGCGATGTGATTGTCAGACTACGGTACTGTGAAAGATTTGATGTTACTTCGTTTTGGCTTTCGTGTCCACTGCCCGTATATTTGAGCAAAGCTCTCGTGATTTTATTGCGCAAAACAATCAGTCCCACTTGCCTAATTTTCTCTTTAATTGGAGAGCCAATCATCTGCCTTATTACGTGTGCCGTACGATTATAAACAATTTGTTTTTCCTTGTGACGTCTCGGAAATGAAGCAGGGACACTGAAGGCTTTTGGTTTTAGCAGCGTCACCAATTTATGCGAAAATCGAAGCGTGGCAAACGCAAGGTAACTTTAACGTGAAGTTGCACAGAGAAGTTATTCACAGTCATGCTCAGTGAGTAGGTTTGAAGACTAGTTATAGTATTTTATAATATACAAATCTTAATGAAAGCAATGTAATTCAATTGGCAAAATGAAGTTGATTACTGGGTATATTAGTTGAATAATCAATGTGAGCAGCTGCTAATACATTCGTTCGCTATATACAGATTCTCTCAAATGACTATCTAGTTTTTTGACGATTATTTATAGCTCTTGCGAGTACTTTTATGAAAGCAGGATGGAAGAAACAAAACGTGAGATAAATTGTATTCTCAATCGCAACATGGTTATTCTTGAAGATATTTGGAAACGTCTTGGAATACCAGAAAATAAAGTAAGAGTTGCATAATGGTAGTTTTAGAGGACAACTGTTATGATCTCATGAGTCAATAGGTGACTGAATTTCAATGTTCAATCAGATTTAAGATGATATCACACGTCAAATATTGTCATTTTCAACGTGATAACTTTAGCATATAGCAAGTTTGATTTTACCAAAGATGAACAATGGAGATTAATTAAAAAGACTGATAAAGATTGAAATGAAATTTTAAACATTATCATCACATTAATTTTTCAGGTACAAGATCGGCGGTGTGATTGTGTTAATCACTTACGCTTTCTTGTGGAAAACATGGTCAAAGAAGAATCAGCAACGGAAAAACGAATTTCCGACAATATTCGTGCAAACGAACAAATATCAGAAATCTTACAAGAAAAATTGGGAACACTCAGCGAGCAAGAAGAAATATTAATCAAACAAGCGCCTTCTGAAGCAATGAGTGAAACTATTTTGGTTAAGGTCAGATTATCTGCCTTTGTTTATGTAAATATGGGTCTTTAGTGAATATGCAAATTTTACGGAAAGTAAAAATTCACTCATTTTCAATAATTTAAATGTAAATTAAGTTCCCCTAAAATAACTAAACAAGTGAAATTACTCTACCGTACTTGCAGGTACATACGCTGGCTTGCAAACACCTTCAATTTCAAGCACTCATTCGGTTTAAAATTTAGGCGGGTCTCGTTGAACATTTTAGCTATGAGTGGGAATCGATCAATCGATCA